ACTGCTTTTACCGGTTCTCACGGTCTCTTCGCTTGCAGATTTATTATATTTTTTCTTCTACCCTGAAGATGGAGGCGATACGTTCCTCCGAAACGTCGGTTAACACCACATATACACGGTGCCAAATCCCAGAAGACTGCTTACTTCTTGTATTGTTAGAAATTCCCAAAATGTGGTGGCTGTTTGTCAAAGTATGAAGGAATCAGGCGAAATGCAGTGTACAATGAATATAAGTACCATAAATACCTTAATCTAAGGCATGGTTTTTCAGTTTCATGATTATTTTTACAGACAGTAGGGCTCCTTGGACAAGTGATCAGCTCATCACAAGGCCTCTACCTAAACACAGGACAACACAAATATAGAATAAATATATACACACACCAACAATCCATGCCTTGTGTGGGAATCGAACCCATGATCCTGGCTTCTGATTGAGCAAAGACAGTACATGCCTTAGATGGCTCAGCTACTGTGACCAGCTTAAAAACTAATGGAATGCTTGAGTTTGTATCCTGAGTAATAAGAGTGAATTCCAGTTAAATAGGACACACTGGGACTAGAGTACTTTGCTACAATTAAGTGGCTGCCCCACATATATGAAGTTGCACATAAAGGTTTAAAAAGGTGTACAGTATATGTATACAGTTGCCGTCTTGTAGTGCACTCAATTTCACCCATTACTTCAAGACATGTTTCGGCAACATAGTGCCATCATCAGGTGCCCTAATTACGCTAATCTATTTCATTGCTTGCCTTTATAAAATTATTTAAAAAGTGCATATTTGTCAACTACAATAAATTTACACACACTAAAACTTGTTAAGATTATTCATCTTATGTGTCATAATTAAAACTTGCGTGTGGTTCTTCCACTATGGGGGTCGTTTTTCTTATATTCTGTGTAAACCGTGTCTTGTGGTGTGTGTTCCCTTCTTAGCTGCGAGTGTTGTTAATTATGACACATAAGATGAATAATCTTAATAAGTTTTAGTGTGTGTAAATTTATTGTAGTTGACAAATATGCACTTTTTAAATAATTTTATAAAGGCAAGCAATGAAATAGATTAGCGTAATTAGGGCACCTGATGATGGCCGAAACATGTCGTGAAGTAACGGGTGAAATTGAGTGCACTACAAGACGGCAACTGTATACATATCATGGAAGAAAATCGGTGCAACAGGATGCTAAAATACAACAAGGTGTACAGTACATACACAAGACAAAAGATAAGCTATTTATTAACAAAAATACTGACCTTAGATGAGCTGAAATAGTTGATGCAATCACAGAAAAATATTTGCCCTAGAAACAGATGTGATTCATTTATACGTTCGACCTGCATATGCTTCTTGACAGTTAGTGACAGAGGAACTGATTGACTGTACCCTGCCGTGTTCTCTTGATTGACTGCAACTGAACAAAATCGGCATAGGTTTCTGGTGCAGACATAGGAGTGCCTTCATTGCCTTCTTGCATGAAATAAAGTTGCAGTCCAGGAATAAATTTCCTGGAATCCTAGTTAGTCACTCATTCAAGCTCATTTGTGTCATCATCATCACTTTCCTGATTTTCTACTACCTTCTGGTGTTTTGTGGCAATTTGCTTCCTCACAATCTTCATTTTCATTATAACACTGAAAAACTAATGTTGATGCATGACAACTCTTCATAATTTGACGTGGTGCGTTTACAATATGTCATTTTCACTGTTGGCCTTATTCAACATCTCCAAGTCTGAGTGTCTGAAACCACAGCAAGCAAAGCAGTTCTGAATGATCTTGGTACTCATTCTTCGCCAATTCTTGGCAATAAACTGTGCTGCTTGTAGAAGATCAGCCCTTTCATTGACCTCCTTAGCTACTGAAGATGATGTCAGTAGATTTTCTTTAATTGCTTCAAGGATGTAGTTTAGCAACTTTGCATGATATAAGGTCTTCAAAATTTTTATGATTCCCATGTCCATTGGCTGTACCAGTGATGTGGTGTTGGGAGACAGAAATTCAAGTTGGATATTCTTCAAAGAATCTAAGGGAGGATGTGCTGCAGAGTTGTCAAGAACAAGTACATTTTCCACAATTTACAATGTAATTCCATGTGCCAACTCATTAGCCATTTCTTAAAAATGTTGGATGTCATCCATGCATGTTTGTTAGCACAGTATAGAACTGGTAATGTCCACACCAATCCCCTTAAAGCACCAAGGCTTAGCCCTTTTCCCAATAACCAGCAATATCCATTCATCAGTTCCTGACATGTTTGAACAGCACATCAGTTACACAATCCATAGCTTTCTTTGAACAAGATAGAGTTGCATGGTTATAGCTTAGGGAACTGTGCGGCGTGGATTGATAAAATAAACCTGTTACATTGGGCATTGTAGATACTGTCATGACTTAGGGGCATATGAATTAGATATTGGGTTTATTAACCACTTATACACCATTCAGAACTACATGAAATTACAATGCTATTGTTGATCTACACACTTTACACACTTTCTTTCCCTCACGAAACCTCCGGGACATGATGCCAGATCCCAGGCCACGCAAGTCCATGACTGACTCACATAAGGGTTAATGCCCTCCAATTACCTTGCCTCTCTCTCCTGACGCAATATTCTATACCTGCTCTGGCCTGCTACCTGCTGGCCCACCTCCAAAGATCCTTCCCCTCTCCTCTCTCCCTTCTCTTCCTGCTCTTATACAGCTGGGTTTATTCTCAACATTAGTCTATCAGTACTTGCTCATGCTGGTTCTTTGCTTGCTGATTTTCTTCTACCCTGAAGATGGAGGCGATACATTCTTCCAAAACATTGGTTAACACAATATCTACACAGTGCCATATCCCAGAAGACTGCTTTCTTCATAGTCACTGCCGTGAAAACCTCAAATCTTGCATACACACTTGACAGTTCACCATTACACACACACTAGGGTTCTCTGTCTTCACTAGTCATATCCTGGCAATGGATTTCAACCCAGTAATCTTACCAGTCTCACTGTAACTGCAGCACACATGAAGTTTTCTTTGCACAGCCCAATTCCTTTCTTGCAGTTTCTTCTCAATCGTCTTCAACTGCCATCTCAAGAGACTCCTTCAATCCTATCTCAGCTGGCCTGGGATCGTCCTTATATAGTATCAGGGTGGAGAAAACAGAAAACATTGTTTCCATCGTTTACCTGTTTACCGAGTCATTGCCCAGCAATGAACTTCTCCTCTGGCTCCGCTATTCTGGCTTTTAGGCATCATGTCACAATATATATTACTTTAGCAGATGTATGCTATTGTAACTCTTTGCTGAACAAATAATTATTCTCCTCTTCTCAACTTCCGCTCTCTGGAGGTCATCTTACATGGACTGGACATTGATTTGTATTCCAGTATAGAAGAAAACAGTGATGTGGTGTATGTCAACTTCTATAACTACTTACCTTCTCTCAATGAAGTATATTTCTTATTTAATGGCAAACAGTATTTCAGTAAATATATTATTTTAGCAAGTTTTCAATTCCTTTTTCACCTTATCAGTTTCATCTTTGAACACGTACTACCACAAATGTGATTTTATTGACTATAAGCATAATTATAAATAAATGTCAAACTGCTTTCACTTCAAAAAAAATTAGGTGTACGGAATTTTCTCAAATATACACGATAAAGTACTGCTTCTGAAGCATATTCACATACATATTTCATAAATATATATACAGTAATATGCAAAAAAAATGACAGGTGAAGAATGACACTCCTTAATCTTATTATAATGAAGTTGGATACTTGTGGTTTTCAAGCATGGTCATGAATCTCCTTCGAGCAGAGGGAGATCTTCACGCTTTTGTCGTCGCTCACATTTTGGACAAGGTTTTGTTGCATCTAAACAGCCCACATGAAATACAGCACTACAGACACCACACTGCAATAGAAAATGAGACGTTGTAAGCACTCACTGCTGGCACAGCAAATGTTAGGATTCTGACCTTATAAATTAAAATGAAGTTAAGATTTCTCGCAATTTACTCATTAAACTTAACAGTTTAATCCTTAGACTTTTCTGTGACAAACCAATCATGAGACAGAACAGGATGGGACTTTTGAAACTGATGTTATTCTAGTTTTTTATAATATCTCACATTCTACAACACTGCTAATGAAGACAAAAAAATCCACACTGTTTTCCATAACAGCAAATATGCTGCTGATATGTGGTTAAGAAAGGCTGACTGCTATAACAGTTATTAAATTATAGTGTGAAATTTGTGTGTTAAGAATCAATTATTCAACCAAAATTCTGCAGTAAATTTATCAAATGCTGTTTAAATGCAGAAACCTGGTAGAACGGGCTTAAAAATTATATATTGCAGACATTTCCTATACTTGGCTTGTTTCCTCAAGTTTCATGTGCATTTATGCAAGAGTGAAATGTCATACCACTTTCAGAAACTTTCATGACCCTATATTAACAGGTGCTTCCACTTAATTAGTTTGCCACCATGAAAATTAATTACACAAAACATAGTTCATCTTGTGAAGTTAATACTTGCTCATCTAATCACAGAATACCTTGCCTATTATCATTATCATGTTCACAAGAGCCCGCCACTGGACCCTATCCTGAGCCAGATGGATTGGCTCATACATGCAGCCATGCACAAACGTGCCTTGTGCTAAACATCCTAAGCACATGTACACCCTGTCCTCCTTATTCCTCATGCTTGAGACAGGTGGCTGCTGTATGCTCATAGCTTGAGAGTTCTGTCTGCTTTTCTTTCTCTCTAAAACTGTTTAGGTTTGCTGGTGCCTCCTGAGCAAGCACTCTGGTCCACATGAAGTTTGCTGAGGTAAGTTGTTTTTACAAGGTGGTTCAAATATGGCCCGGACTGATTTGTGTGTAAACAAGCCGCACTGCGCAGCAGCTGTGCAACCTTGAGAGAGTGAAGCCACAACCTCCACCCTCCCTCCTGTTTGGGTTAGAACCTGTTCAGTCCTGTTTGGGAGTTCCTAGAGTGATGAGCGAACAGAAGGTACCATGGAGCATGGAATAACGCATTGTGATCAAATTCCTCATTGGAGAAAATGTCCCGTCTGCTGAAATTCACCACAGGCTCCAACAACAGTATGGGGAAAGAGTGTCTCTCACGAACCCGTGTGTCTGAGTTATGTAAGTGCTTCAGAGAGGGCAGAGAGCGCGTGGAGAATGAACTGCATGATTGTCAGCTGCGAACATCCGTCACCAAGCAAAACACTGATTGTGCAGACTTGCTTATTCATGAGAATAGGCGCATCACTATCAAGGAACTTGGAGCAATGCTGTCCGTCAGTGTTGGTAGTGTAGAAGACACTATGGCACTATGGCAAAGTGAATGCATGGTGAGTACCATGCACTTTGATGGACATGAACAAAATGGTGTGCATGCAAGCTTCCAGTCATCTCCTACAGCAGTTTGAAGATGAAGGTGATGCATTTTTGAAGTCTATAGTGACCACCAATGAAAAGTGGGTGCGCTACTTCATTCCCGAGACCCAGCAGTCATCACGTGAGTGGCGAAATACCAGTTCTCCCAAACCTAAGAGACTGTGGAGAAGCCGTTCAGCAGGAAAAGTGATGGCAATGTTCTTCTGGGACTGGCAGGGGGTTATCCACGTAGACTTTCTGACAGATGCTAGAACAGTCAATGCAGCTTATTACTGAGACCTCCTGGCAACAGACATGGAGGAAAAGTTCTGATCCAAGTGGAAGACGGGTGGAAAGTTGGTAGCCTTCCTTCAAGACAATGCACAACCCCATATGGCCAAAACAATGGAAACCCTCTCGGAAATTGAAACGGAGCCTTCTGACACATCCGCCATACAGTCCCGATTTGGCCCCAAGTGATTTATACCTGTTCAGAAGGCTCAAATCAGACTTGCAAGGCATGCGGTTTGTGGACGATGACGCCGTCAACCACACTGTTCAGGAGTGGATACGCTGCCAACCACAAGCCTTTTTTGAAAAGGGCATCAGGATGCTTCCAGAACGTTGGGAAAAATGTGTTGACTCCAGAGGGGAGTACGTTGAAGACTGACATGTGCAGGTGTTTGCCAATTATGGTTTTTAAAAGATAAATCAGTCCCAGTCATATTTGAACCACCTTGTATAGCCCCTAAATGGGGGAGGGGGGGGATCTCAGTATGACAGGCAATGTATAGACCATGCTAAGGTAATTTATTTTCTTTTGGGCCACAGATTATGATTTGGATTTTGTTATTTATTTATCAGTGAAAGTCATTGCTCACAGATGAGCCTTATTTATATTACGTCGTGCAATCGAAAAGTTCCCGAAATATATTAATAAAAACTATTACAACTTACCTAGATCTTATTCTGCACCATCACCTTCAAAGTAGTCCCCTTGGGAGCGCATACACCGATCCCAGCATTTCTGCCACTTTTCAAATGCATCCTGGAAGTCTTTCTTTGTTAGGGTGTTCAGTACCGTCTGCGTTTCCGCTTGAATTTCCTCAACTGTATCAAATCTTCGCCCCTTCAACTTGATTTTCATCTTGGGGAAGAGAAAGAAGTCGCATGGAGCTAACTCTGGCGAGTACGGTGGGTGGGGAACAACTGCCATCTTGTTTTTAGCCAAAAATTCCTGCACAATGTAAGCCGTATGCGGTCGTGTGTTGACATGGTGGAGTACCCAGTCGTTCATGCGCCACTTCTCTGGACGTTTTCTCCTCATGTCCTCCCTCAAATGCCTTAAAACATCGCGACAGAACTCTTTATTGACTGTCTGACCAGGAGGGATGAACTCCTTATGAACAATCCCGTCAATATAAAAAAACAGATCAACATGGACTTAATGTTGCTCTTGACTTGTCAAGCTTTTTTTGGCCGAGGTGAAGAAGGGCTCTTCCATTGTGACGACTGCTGCTTGCTTCCAGGGTCGTAGACATAAACCCAAATTTCGTCACCAGTGACAACCTTCGAAAGAAAGTTTTGATCCTCTTGAAGCTGTTGCTGAAGTTCCCTGCAGACTTCCAAGCGATGCTGCTTCTGTTCATTTTGCAGCAGTCGTGGCACAAACTTCGCCGCAATCCTCATGTTCAGTTCCTCTGACAAAATTCGTTGACATGTACCATAACTTAGTCCCAAGGAGTTACAGAGGTCTTGGATGGTCAGTCTACGATCTTGCATAATCAGATTCCTAACTTTCGTAACATTTTCTGATGTTTTGCCCGTTGACAGCCGTCCCGAACGATCGTCATCATCAGTCAATGTTCGGCCATTTTTAAAACGCTTATACCAGTTGTAAATTTGTGTCTGGCCTAAACTGTTTTCACCAAAAGCTTGCTTCAACATTTGGTGCGTTTCTGTAGCGGTTTTCCCAAGTTTGAAACAAAACTTTATACAGACACGCTGCTCTCTCAGGTCAGCCATTGCAGAACCGCAAACTCACGGAAACACAACAATGGAAATATGTTCACCAACAATAAACACAACCACTCAACTCGACATCGCTTGCCACACTGATTCAAGAAGGATGTGTGAGGAGACACCTAGCAGTATTTCGATGTACTCATAACCATTCATGCGCAAAATTCAAATTTCGGTAACTTTTGGATTGCCCCACGTACATTATATTCCTTGTTTAATATATATGTATAATCTCTACTCTTTTTATTTGTTGAGTGTCTTCCATTTATAGTCCAACTTGCACACCCCACCTCACTATGTTTTCTCCTCTCATTCTTTTCATGGTGCAGAGGGTTGTTTACTGATATACCCAAGAGGAGGGGGAAGGCAATGCAACACCCCAGTGCCTTATGACCCATTTTAATATGAGGGCTATTCGGAAAGTAACCTCTGGTTAAATAGTAGTAATAAAGAAATGCATAAATATCACAGAATTCATTTATTCAGTTACATTTATAACCTACAGCAATGTATTTGGAAATACTGAACAGGAAAAATGTCTAATATGAGTAGATGCTCTGTTTTCAGACAGGCCAACTTGTAATTTATTTACTTTCCTTGTGGTAAGAGGCCATGCCTCACAAATTCAGCATTGAATGTGTCAAGAAGACTGTGGTTTGGTTTGTTTCCCATGTTTCAAATATATATTGTCACGTGTTGGGTGTATAACACGACAAATAACTTCACGCCGTATTGGATGTAGCGAATTCTATTTCACACTCACTCTTACCATCACACAATTTACAATCTCACAACTACTGCTATCTGCAGTATTACAATTAATTGGCCTGCGAAGGCTAGACTACAACTGACTGGTTGACTGACTCACTGCTGGCCAACTCGTAACTAACTTGGAACAGTCTTCGTTGCTCCTTATTTAGCCCCGTTACGGACAACACAGAAAACAGTTACGTAATAGGCACCACTGTTGTCTAACGCCGTGTTTGCCGACAGCCTAGCAACGCTGTCGGGAGTTGTTTACTGCTGAGTAGCAATGGCGACATCCCAGGTTACGTCACGGCTGGGGGGGGGGAGGGGGTGTCCTCCATAGCGCAACACGTCACAATATGTATTTGCAGATTGTCAGGTTAATGATGGAAACAAAATTTTACACGGATTCAGAGACTGACAGTAAAATATGTGATCTTTCAGTTATTACAAAAAATGATTTAGTTGAAATAAGAATTCATTGGCTGAGGTTAATGTAACATTAACTATCTACAATCAAAATTTTCCCTCCAATCATTCAAGTAAATATGACACATCTCTACTTACTCTGTATGTAGATTCCATGTCAAATGGGTAAATTACTTTGGGATTGTTGCAGACTTCACATATAAAACCCTTCTGACTGCAAAGCCAGCAAGACAAGACATGTCCTTTTGCAAATGAAACTACTTTTTGAAGAAGATGTGCCAGTGTTCCAGATGGAATCTGAAGTAAGTCCTGAAATGTAATTAAATTCATTACACCAGAGAGCAAATTTTTTTCATAACAACAACAACAACAATAATAATAATAACAATAATAATAATACAATGTAGTGGCAGTTAGGCACATATTACTGTTATACCATTAGTCATCTAAATCACACTGGGCTCTTTGATCAAACTACTAAAAGATTTTAAATTCTGTCTTCTAGCATATATGATTTGATTTCACAATGAAGTATGAATAACCATCCTGTTAAAGCACCTCTAAACCCATTATTACTCATACTTCAATGGTGAAGATTCACATCATGGTCTTCTGCATTACATACACTGTTATATGCTATGAATGTTCTGCAACACACTGGCCAACTTCAGATGCATGTTCTACAGGCCATTCAAAGAAAAAATGTTTAATGAACTATATGTCTATTTGACAGCAGTATCGAGGTAAGTGCTATCCTAGCGTAGCAACGAATAAACAAGCAGTTTGGGAAGAACATATCACCTACTTTCCTTGATATGACACGGACTGTATAGAAAATGATGTGTCCAACAACACTTCTATTGCTGCATGTATTCATTGCTGTGGTAACGTTTTTACTGAGCTGCTGCCTAGCAATGATAGGGGGATACACATATAGACACACAGACTAATAAAAGGGATTTATCAAGCATGCTGTTCACATAAGCTCAGGTGCCATGATATACATACCAAATTTCATAAAGACTGGTTCAGCAATTCAGAAGTCAGTGGGGTGGGGATACAGAGACAGCATGGAAAATGCATAAATCTACTTTAATTTTTTTAAATAAAGAAAACAGGCTAAAGTCATCTTTTCAACTTACCTTTGATATCATATTTTTAAATGATTACAACAATTAAGTTTCAAAGTTATTTCAACACATGTTTGAGATGCCCTCCATTGGACTGCATGCATGCTGCCAATTGTTGTACCATTGAATACTGCCACTGCATGCATCTCAGGTCATTTCTGATACCAGCTATGGCTTCATTTATGGCCTCTGCTAACTGATACCTTGCTTCTTGTTTATTACTGTGATATATTCTCTATTTCGTGCATCCCCACACAAAGAAATCTAATGGGTTTAAGACAGGAGATTGATACTAGGCTGGACAGTATACAAGCAGGAACTCGGTCAATTTACAGCAGTTCCAGCTCACTCCACTAGCATTTAACTTGAAAATGGTGTTGAATCGACCTAGTTTGTTGGACATTCTTTGCTTCAAATAACCTGTAGAACATGCCCCTGAAATTTAACCAGTACACTGGAGAACACCCAGTATACCGTGTAGGCACACATCACACTGGGAAGGATAGGCCTGCTGTCTAACCATTCAGACTTCTAACATGCCCGCAGTACTTCAGTTTGTTTTTACTGTGAACAGTAAGACCTTCTGAATGTCATTACTCATACTAAAACTTAGAAGACATTTTAGTGGAGTAAAAAAGTTGTCCCTGTGCTTAATTAGTTAAGCACAATGCCATGAAGACATATGGGCAAGAAGAGGTATAGCTCTACCCTTTTTGACCTCGGCACAAGATGGAGGCGAGTGTTCAGCTTCACAGCTGGGGAGAGCCCCTAGTACCCATTAGACAGGAGGCTGGGTGAGCCCCAGATTCAGTCTGGACACTGTCTGGAACTGAACCCAGGTGCCCAGCTCACAGCCTGTTGCTATACCTACTGGGCTATCCTGACTCCAGAAGATATTCTGGTACTTCTCAGAACTTTGGTGTAATAACATCACAACAAAATCCAGCTGGCAAGAATCTGACTGCTTTACAAATTTCAACATTTTGTCCTCCTGAGCAAAATATGGCCAAGGTTAGGTCCACTTGTGAAGACCTTAGACATATCTTGAGTTCCTATGACTGGGAAGTTAGACATTAAACTGACACAAAATTGGCATTTCCAGCAACTTGTTTTTGGTTAAAAAATGTTTTGGCTGTTGGCTCTGTTTCTGTAATCAGGTAAGAATATGAAACCCAATTTGTTGTGTTCTTTATATTAAGTTAATATACATTCCTCACAATGAGCTCAATATAGTGGACCCAACAAAGTAAGTAACATACTTTTTCCTGATAATAGTTGCCAGGCCAGATTCCAAAACACTTCATCACAAATCCTCAGATTTATCTTAAATTTAATATCAGTTGCATAAAGTGAGTTCAAATATTCATTATTCAAAGACAGTTCATACTTACTGCAACAGAATACAAGTGTACGTGTTCATACAGGTATTCTCGTGGCCAAACACGTTTCTGCAGTTCTTCAATGACTGGTTCACGGCATGTGAACAAGTATGCACGAAGCAGGTTCAGCTGAATACGGAGCAGCTGAAACAAAATCTTTGCTGAAGAGCAGTGAAAAATATAAAGCACAAATTACTTACTTCAACTGTGAATTTGGTGTACTGCAGCCTTATGAACAACTTTCTATAAAATGTATTCACAAAATCTGTTTGGCTCCAGAATAACAGCAACTGACTTTCTGATGAAGTTGAACCTGTTCTTGGCAACAAAGATACATGCTTCTTTGGTGTATGTACCAAATTTCTAAATATTATTTTGATGAATACCTGCATATAAATGTCTGATTTGTAACAGAGTTGGCCGAACACATAATGAACATTAAAGCCACATATGATAATTTTCTGAAGTTTGGAAGCAAACACATGGATGGCACAGGCATTTAGGTACATGCTTTTCATGCAGCAGATTATTTTATATTTAACCTTTAACGTACGAATGTTAGATATATCTAACAGCAAGTAACACTCCGATGTGGCCGAATGTTAGATTTGTCTAATGCAGCACACGTGCTCTCTTTGGGAGTGCTCACAGTTTGATATTCAGGTTGAAACCACAACACACCCATGCAAGGTCAAGTCAGTGGTTCATTTGTTAGGTCTGAACAATGAAATCGTTTATCACCTACTGGTTTCAATATTATTTACATTTAGATATGACTGTTTATGACTGGGTCAGCCAAATAAGAGCACAGCTTTGTGTTAAGAACTGAGAAGTAAATATTCATCTTAGTATGCAGATTAGTGCTACCTGAACATGCAAGGAAGTGGGTAGTTTTCAAGGACTGGTTTCAATAATGAATTATCAGTCAGAACATCAGTGTCTGATTATCAATTATTTATTTATAAAACATTTTTATTTTGTGTCTTGGTAGAGGTATAAAGCCGCTGAAGACAACAATGCACGTATGAGCTTTGTGGATAAATCTGACAGGATGGTAAATATACAAGGTGGTTCAAATATGACCAGGACTGATTTGTGTGTAAACAAGCCGCACTGCGCAGCAGCTGTGCGACCTTGAGAGAGTGAAGCCACAACCTCCACCCTCCCTCCTGTTTGGGTTAGAACCTGTTCAGTCCTGTCTGGGAGTTCCTAGAGTGATGAGCGAACAGAAGGTACCAAGGAGCGTTGAACAACGCATTGTGATCAAATTCCTCATTGGAGAAAATGTCCTGTCTGCTGAAATTCACCACAGGCTCCAACAACAGTATGGGGAAAGAGTGTCTCTCACGAACCCGTGAGTTGTGTAAGTGCTTCAGAGAGGGCAGAGAGCACGTGGAGAATGAACGGCATGATCGTCGTCCGCGAACATCCATCACCGAGCCAAACACTGATTGTGCAGATGCGCTTATTCGTGAGAATAGGTGCATCACTATCAAGGAACTTGGAGCAATGCTGTCCATCAGCGTTGGTAGTGTAGAAGACATCGTGAAATACCACCTGCATTATCACATGGTGAATGCATGGTGGGTACCATGCACTTTGACGGACATGAACAAAATGGTGCGCATGCAAGCTGCCAGTCATCTCCTACAGCAGTTTGAAGAAGGTGGTGCATTTTTGAAGTACAGTGACCACCGATGAAACGTGGGTGCACTACTTCATTCCCGAGACCCAGCAGTCATCACATGAGTGGCAGAATACCAGTTCTCCCAAACCTAAGAGAGCGTGGAGGAGCCGTTCGGCAGGAAAAGTGATGGCAACGTTCTTCTGGGACTGGCAGGGGGTTATCCATGTAGACTTTCTGACAGATGCTAGAACAGTCAATGCAGCTTATTACTGAGACCTCCTGGCAACAGACGTGAAGGAAAAGTTCTGATCCAAGCAGAAAACAGGTGGAAAGCAGGTAGCCTTCCTTCAAGACAATGCACGCCCCCATACGGCCAAAACAATAATGGAAACCCTCCAGAAACTGAAACGGAACCTTCTGACACATCCGCTGTACAGTCCCAATTTGGCCCCAAGTGATTTATACCTGTTCAGAAGGCTCAAATCAGACTTGCGAGGCATGTAGTTTGTGGACCACACTGTCATCCAGACTGTTCTGGAGTGGATACGCTGCCAACCACAAGCCTTTTTTGAAGGGGGTATCAGGATGCTTCCAGAAAGTTGGAAAAAATGTGTTGACTCCGGAGGGGAATACGTTGAAGACTGACATGTGCACGTAAGTGTTTGGCAATTATGTTAAAAAAAAAATTAGTCCTGGTCATATTTGAACCACACTGTACCATAGTTATGGAATTGCCCGGAGGACATGGAAATCGATAAAAAAAAATTTTTCCACCTTCTAGACATGATTATTCTTAATGCCTATTTATTGCACAAGTCACGTGGTGGAGAAATGAGACAGAAAAATTCTGCAAAATCCTAGTACGAGATTCGATTGTACAGTCGCATGAGGTGAATATAACGGTCAGTGCCGTTTCTCTGGGGAGGTCAGGTTTATTTGGGGTCCAACTGAGTCGAGTAGAGGTGAAACATTCACAACACTGGCCATTCAAAGGATATCAAAGACGTTGTCATGTGTGTTTGCTAAATAAGAAAACCAGGAGCATCCTCTTTTAATTAAAAAAGTGTGATGTTAGTCTGTGTGTCAACAAGGACTGCTTTGAGAAGTGGCGCACACACATTAGAGTGTGAGCACTGAATGGAGTTATCATAAACTGTGAAGTGATGCAGTTTATCCTCGCATACAGTCCGAACAAAGGATTATTGTATATAGTGTGATTATTTTTTACAAAATCAACATGTCTGAAGTTGCAAAAAATAACTATGGGGAGGTCGTTTGGAATTTCATAATATATATAATAAAGATGATACTTTGAATTTCATGACAGAATAACCACAGAAAAAATTGCTCTTTTGTGTATATGTAGAAAATGTTACTGTTTTTCAGGCTGTTTTTAGTTCATATTTCTATATTGCATAGAACGGAATATATGTAGTTTTTTTTTTCTGAAAGTCTGCAATTTTAACCCTTTTGCGCGGTGATTTAAATTCCGCGGCCGTCTCTCCGGCGGTAATATATTCAGCCGGCCATTTAAATTTTGCTCGAAAATGATTTATTCATCATTGTTCTTAAATTATATGAGATAGGAACATGAAACTTTCACTAAAATGATCTTAAATGGTGGTTTTATAACCTTACCTTATAATATGGGCGCCCTGTATCTCGGCCATGGAAGCAGGTTGTTTAGTATTTGAGCAGTGAATGGTACGCCTTGAAGGATGAAACTTTCACTAAAATGATCTTAAAAGATGGTTTTATAACCTTGCCTTATAATATGAGCACCCGGTATCTCGGCAATGCAAGCAGGTGACGCCTTGAAGCATTAGTCTAAACACAGCGTTGGCTCACATTCACCAAACCAGTACTGCGTATATTTTCTTTGGCTCTTTTTTTTTAACCACACTTCTGTGCAGCCTAGCCTTCTTCCCCGTGGGGGGAATAAAAGAGGAAATGTCTCTCCGTGAGTCGAATAGGTTGCCAGATTAGTTGCAGTAAATTCAACCTTTGTGTTATCATAACAAGGGGTTGGTGCTTCTGCGTTTCAGATTCCAACCATTTTGGCTGCCCCAGATGTCGTAGGGGTGACCACAGAATTCATCAACTAATTCTAAGAACTGGCTGGTATATAGCGAACGAAAGCAGAGCATAGCTGGCTCAAAAAAAATATTTATGGTCATCCCTCGAAACGACCACCAAGGTCAGTACGATAAAATGGCGTCAACTGGAGCGATAATACATGAAGGAATGAGTTCTTTTCCCTCCCCCACACACATCCGTATCGTCTCAGGGGGTGACCACAGTGTTCTGCCTTAAATTGTGGCGTTTTTCTAAGAACTGGGCCTTTGTACTGTGCGAAATCAATCGATCTTGCAAGAATAAATATTTGGATATCCCTGTTCTAAGAATTCCAATTGAGTGTGTTAGTGTGGCCAGCTCAGGGCAATATGATATTATAAACAAAGCACATATCACGTCTCTACTGTTTATAATTTCATAGGAAAGAAAACACGGCATTCATAAACGTAGAACCAATAAACTGCTCGCAAGAGCCACAGGAACTTTGCTGCAAGACAGGCATATGTAACGATGACTTAGCGCTCTTAAACTCGTGTCTGATTATAAACCGTTCTTGTGACAACAGGCCAGCGAAGAATCTAACAATCTACAGCAAAACCATCAATTATTATGGGCGTTATAACATAGGTGTGCAGCTGGACGAAACATACACGTCGAACCCCCCCAGACGATTTAAATACCTGACAAAACATACACGTCAAACCACGCCAACGGGTTAAAGAATTAGGGTCATTTAAATTCCGGCTGCAGCAGGCTCTCAACAATTTAAAAGTCCGTACTTTAAAGGTTAATCCATTCGTGCAACGGGGATCATGCTATATTTTTCCATGAGCCACACCAACTGGTCAAAGAAGTCACACACAGTTAGAATGCAACAGATCAACTATGTCTGATATACATTTCACAATTCAAAGAACATCTGTTTCAGATAATATGGGTGGCATACCTACTTTCACTGTCTGCCTAGGGTATTACTGCTTGCAGAAATCCAGACCATGTACATGGAAAATGCATAACTACATTATAGTCCCTTTCTGTAACTGTGTCATTCAGAAATTTTGAGCTGTTTCCACAGACAGTAAGGCTGAATTCAGTATTGTTCATCTTATTAGATATGGTCATTATGCTGCCTGTCATGGGAAGTCTGGCAAGAGCAACTGGGGTGCTGTTCAAGCAGTGCTACATCTTAGGAGTATCTTATAGGATACTGTAGCATGTAGACCCATTGCTATGAAATGACTGTAAATGACGGTCACTGCTAGGTAATGGCCATAGACAATAACACATGAATGATGTTCTCTATGTGGTCCATGCAGAGATGTTATAAACAGGACAATTGGAGCAATGAATTAGTTGTGAGGCAGTCACTGGCCAGAAGGACGTGAACTTAGAAGTTTTAGGATCTACAGTTTGGAAGCTGTTACTAGACAACAACTGGTGAAGACAAAGCAGACTGAGAAGACTCAGTATGTGCTGTAGTTAACTGCTGAGTGTGTGAATTAGCAAAATCACTATAGTTACTTGTAGTTACAATCTGTAAGAGCGTAGTAAATCCAAACCCCATCCACAGTCACTCTTGTGACAGTATTAATCTCTAGAGTCTGGTAGAACTTTACTGATCCTTTGGAGGAACATACTGCTTCTATCTTTACACCAAGACAGACTGGCCTACTGACCATCAGTCATAACATAACTTTGTCTCTGACTTGAGTTCCAGTTAGTTAGAGGACTGCTGGGGTTCAACTGTTGTGAGCTGTTGCTGTTAGAAGCTAGCAGCTGAGGCCATGGATACTTCAGGAACATGGAAAAAGGGGAACACCTGCAGATGGAAGCCACTACCAAGCAACACTAGTGAATATGTGACTGCGGACACTACTGTGTGTGTGTAACAGTGAACTGTGAAATGTAGTTATATGCTATATCAGAGTACAATAAATCTGGTCATCGATCCAAGACCCATCTGTCATTACTTTATCATGTGAAAATATTTTTCTGAAATGTGGGTATAAATATGGGCTGTGCATTTCTTTTGTACATGGAATGCACTTCCTGTTCTGCCATTAAACTTCTCCTTTCTTTCAACTGGAGCTGGATTTACCTAAATATTGAGGTGCTATGAAACAACAATATTCTGAAGGTTTTTTTTATAAACTTTGTATATAATTCACATCAGTCTAATATGATTGTAATCAGATCAGTGGCTGAAGTTATTATGTTTGTTTCAAACTTATGTTGAGAATGTCACATGGTGAAACAAGGCTCATTATACAAAGAGGTATTTTAGTGACTAGACAAGTTCATGGCTCTGCATTTCATTGTGACCACTGCGCTACTTGCTGCAAGGCTCATGCAAATTTTGCCAATGAATTAGCATGCCTGATGGGCAATAACATTTGAAATGAAGTAGTTACAATTCACAGATCATAGGTGGTGTTGAAAATGCTGTCCTCTCTACATGTACACATTTCTTGCAGTTAAATGTTACATTAAAAATGCAGGTACAACAATCCGTCTTGCACTTACAGCACACCATACACCAACTTTCACTAAATGACTTCAGGAATTGTGTTGCTATTTTTGCACTAGTCTTTGACTAGATGTTTAAGTGATTTTCTAGATGTATGTTCAAGTCTGGCCCCTATCTCATCTAATTCTCCTCAGTAAGCACTTCTGTTTTTGTTTCTGTCTATTAAGAGTCCCATTGTTCTAAGTTTATTCACTAAACTATGAATTGTTTGTCTGCTGGGAACTCTTTCATCATGAAATCTATGTAGAAATTTTTGCCAACACTTTCCAGCAGATCCATATTTCACATAGGTATCATACAGATATACACGTTGCTCTAAAGTATATTGCACCATGAGACTCACTAACTGTAACTGAGAACAGATGGCTAATGGAGCTGATAACTGCTGCCCACTGTTGACAAATCATAAACAAACTCTCACACTTAAACCGTACTGCTTGCTGTGAAATATAATACCATCAGGCGGTCTACAAGTTAATTACTTCCCTTCATTCTGAATGTTACTGGCTGATTCATCAGCAAAATTTGTATACATTTCAGAGCAGGAGGCGCACCAACTGCCGTGAAGCGCAGAGCCATGAACTAATCAAGTTACCAGAAAACCTCCCAGTACATTGTGCAGTATGCTGTACATTGAGGAATTTGTGTTACATGATAGGTCTGTTGGATCACCAAACCTACCCCTCACTCCCTTAAAGCTTTGGGACACTATAATGGCACTCAATATGGTAGAGAGGTCTGATTGTATTCAGTGTATGGTATTTTCTTTCAGAACTACAGGCATGAAAAGTTCATATTAATATCCTCTGTTTGCTGCATCAATTGACACAGGTAACTGAGGGGAATCAAATTAAATTTATGTCCCTTCTAACTCCAACAGCTTTATTCTCAACCCAACTGGAAAGGTGTAATCTGTTCTTTGTGCCTTTGCATTCTCAATGCTCCTTGCAGTTCTGAATAGCTTCAATACTCTGTGTACAGTTTTTAAATCTTGAAAATTCATTACTATGGTTTCTAAAGGTTACTGTTGTTGCAAGAATCAAATGTGGTGAGGGACTGCGTGGCCTGGCCTGTGTTCGCCTCTTGTACTGTCTAGATTATTCCAGATAACACTAAGCTGGCACCAATGGCTGAAGTCATCCAGCCACTTCTGAGATATTTCCTGCAGTCTGATATATCTCTAACAGCAGCTGTAAAATTCTTACAAGAGCCAAGTTTAGTACAGGGCAGAAGCATGCAAAAAGTTTGTGATAAAGAATATAAGGTTCTCACAACAGTGGTTATGAAAATTTCCCTCTTCTAGGATATAACGCCATGTAGTCCACTGAAAGTCAACTGACATTTCAAAGGAGACATGTTCCTCCAAGATGTAGGTTGACTTTCAATAGACTACACAGCATTATATCCCAGAAGACATAACTCTTCGAGAAGTTAGTGAATTGAAGTAGTCAGTACATTTTGAGTTCAGTTTAGCATAGTGCAGAGAAGGTATAAGAAGAAGCGAGTACAATGAGTGATCAGTGGCACTGTGAAGTAACGAGTATACAGTGACCTCAAGAGCGTAAGTGACAATATCAGTACACATTACTATACTATGGGTACTGTAGATACTTCACTTTGAAAGTGCTCCCACCTCACAAGTCTGTGTGTCTTCAATACTGTTATTGCTATTTACAGGAAATTAAAGAGCTATAAGCTTGGAGTGGCCTCCAGTGGCATACTAGTCTTATATAATTTCATCAAAATCCATCCATCAATTCTTGAAGTGAAATGTATGGCCAGAAAAACAGAACATCCCCGTGTGCATTTTACTATGCATAACATAAAACAATTCATAACAACAAATGAATATCTCCTTAAAACTTGTACTTTAACTTCTGGAATGTATAAAGCATGTACTTACTGTATGTTATGATTCAAACACAGATATTGTTTGTCCAATATGGAGAATGTATGTAGTTTTCAGTTAACTAACATTAAGAATATTTCATTTAATATTTCTTAACCCTTTCTCCCATCAGTATGGCTATTCCTAGGCTTACAATATTTATGCAGAAGAAAAGGTTATTTAATAACCAAGGGTGCATACTAAACAAAAATTAACCAAAAGCAGACGAGCAATATTTGTGCTTTAACCACTGATAATACTGTGACGTGTTGCGCTACGGATGAATTAACTGATTGAATGAGTATAATTAGAGCAGATTTTGAATACTATATTTAAAGCCTGCCATTTAAGATAACTAAAATAAAGCCAAACATGTTAAAGTGTACAGTTTATATTCTATTTAGGAACATTAATGACAAGCGCTTTCATATCTAATGGGCTTATCTCAGCACCAATGATGCTCAGTCTGAATACTATTCAGTATTCTCATTGTCATTTCTGACTATTCTTAACCTAATAACTAGTCTGGGTAATGATTATAATGGCAACAAATATTATGGGGGTTTATAGAGGAGAGATTAAATGTAACACTTATGTTAAACAGTAAAAACAGAAATAATCATTTAATGACAAACAACAAGTTATGCTATTCATCATATGAAGTCCATGGAAAAAATGACTAAATGTTATGTTATCTGTGCTGTCATATAAGAATACTAAATAAACACGAGTGAGAGACATGATTTATAAATCTAATCACATCATCACAGTACCTTAGATTAAGTACTATTTACCTGAAGTTGGGTCATGTCATCTACAGCAAGATACAGTCGAGGATTTAAACTCTTAAGATCCAGAAGGGGATGATGCTGGATCTCTTCAAGGAATGCAGCTGAGCGACGGGAAACAGGGAAGCGACGGAAATCCCAGTTGTGAATAGCACGAGCTGGTATAAGCCACTCTTGCCCAACATGGCATTCAGTACAGAAATATCCACCACTAAATGAGCAAACTCTGCAATATCCAATTCACAATGCAATATCACTAGAAAGATATTTGTTTTCTTCTTATACTGGCATTACTTTAAATATAAAGTTTATTTCTTCTATTTTCATTCTTCAGTACTGGTCTTGTACTTTCTTAGTAACAGAATACTAAGTTTGTTGACATAATGATCTAAATGGGCTGTGAGATGACAAATTGAGGTAGGGTGTGTTCCTCAAGTAATTTTTATTACACTTGTATGTGAATGTATGCAGATGCACACAGTGCTGGTTCCTAGAAAGGAAGATGCCAGTACTCATGTATAAAAAAATAGAGGGATGCAATACCTTTTGGTATACTGAATTTCTGATGTGAACACTTCCCATAACAGGTGCTTACTGACTGCACAATTTCTTAATGTGAGTCATTTTTAACATTTCCATTTCAAATGTAATGAACAAAAAATCTACATGGAATACAACACATACAAAGTCTTCTTATATGTCTGTTACATCCTGTATTTCCTGAATACTGTGTTTAATAGGAAAAAAGGTGTAAAAAATCTTTTGGGAAGAACAAATCAAACAGTGTTTTCTCAACAGAATATAAAACCAAACAACAACTGGACTTCTCGTAAGTGGATGTTAAACAGAATGATCTTTAAGTTAAAAACCCTTCAGAAAATAAAGACTGAGCCATGAAGGTCAACTCCTTACCAATATAGTATAAAAGAGAAAAACAAACAGTAGTACTAACTTGATGGGAGTACATATAAATCACATGACAAAGAACTGAAGGTCTAAAATTATAAGGCAGAGTTCATTAAGAAAATCTGTCCAACATTATAAAAAAAAGGTTCCCACAATAAAATTCAAACTTTTAAATTCTCTCATAAATAATTCACAAAGAAGACAACTAGTGAATTGGCTGAAGTGTATAAAGTACTTGACACGGCTCTTATAGTAACCTCTCATCATGACACATGCAATTTATGTGGGCAGTGCTAATCAATACAGTGTTACAGGGGGAGTTGCTGATTTAATAATGTAACAACAAAATGTCTAAAATAAAATGATTATCTGATTCTAAATGTCTGAGATAATATGATATGATATAATGACATAAGGATGTTTCCTGGACACTATCCCCTGTTTAGAGTAGAGGTTGTTTGTATTCCACAGGCTAGGTCTGCCACCATCTTCAGATTAAAAACAAGGAGGGAGGTGAAGTACCCATCCAGACAGGCCTGTTAAACAAACCTGGTCATTACTGCTGCAACCAGTTTTAAAAAATGTGTTCATACAGAGCAAATAATGTATGGCTTGTTAATTTCTTAACTCTAAAATTTTTTAAGAGGCTCACTGGCCTGCTGTGACTTTAAAATAGCACCATCCATCCTCTGGATGAAAACAGTGTCTGAGCTCTTAATTTAACTGAAGATAAAATGAAAGGAAAATATTATGAGCTGTAATAAAACAGAGGAAATACATTTTCAAATATCAATCAAGGAACATAATGGAGAATCTGATAGACAGAATGAAAATTCTGATTTGTAGTATTCATAACAAGTCAGCTAGGTTCAATATAAGGATCACGATTAATTCCTTTGGTCATATTTGACCAAAGAGTCAGCCATCCTGCATAGGCCCTATCACATACCTATCTATACCTATATAGTCCCACACTTTAAAGTTATGTGTATTATTCAACAAATGTCCATGCTATAGCTCAGGGCAGTTAGTCACCACCTTCCTGCCGTGGTGAGCTGGGTTTGAGCCCGGGTCAGGTTATGTGGGATTTGTGGTGGACAATGTGGCACTGGGGCAGGTTTTCTCCAAGTACTATGGTTTCCACTGCCAATCTTCATGCCACCAACTGCTCCACAATCACCATCATCATACTACTAATATTAATATGGGATTTTGAGCGTTCATTATCAAGCTTGAAGTAATGCCGGTTCTTTAGTATTATGTTTTTCTGAAACTTTTATAAACAGAAAACATAATTAGAAACATATGGCTAGAACAAAGAATAACCATAAAAATGTAGCAGCATCAATATATCATCATCATCATCATCATCATGCTAAATTAGGCACTACATGGTCTGTTCCATCCTCCTAACGAGTATGCTGATCCCTCCACTTTAACTGTGGGCATCTTATGTCAGTAAAGCAATCTTATGACAAGTATAGGGAGTTTATCTGAGAGCCTACTGAAAACTGATTAGCCATTCTGGTGAGAAAGACACATACTCCTTACATCAATCACACTGTATGTGTGTGTTTGTGTGTATACTTGGGGAAGAGTACAAGTTATGAAGCTCCTCATTATGCAGCTTTCTCCAACCTCCTGTCACTTCATCCCTCTTCAGTCCAAATATTCTCCTCAACACCCTGTTCTCAAACACCCTCAGTCTATGTTCCTTCCTTAATGTCAGAGACCAAGTTTCACACCCATACAGAACCACGGGCAAAATTATAGTTTTGTATATTCTAATTTTTATGTTTTTGGACCGCAGACGAGAATCTCCTCCTAATTTCCTTCTCAATCAGGTTTTGATTTGTTATCGTCGTTCCCAAATATTGAATTGAATTGAAAAATATCAGAACTTTGCCAAATTTTCACAACATCTGTTTCATATCGTTATGTCACGATTTTGCCCTGCATTTTGGTGATGAGACAGCAACATATACTTAGTGCTCATGGAGACAGTCATGTGAAAAAGGAGGAAAAGATTCTGCATACATTTCAAGTTTCAGTATCCTTAATTTCTGAAAAGGGACTTCAACATGTCAATGTGAATGTGTTATGGAGGCGCCAGAAATGTGTAACAATATGGACCACTGTGCAGTATCTGATGTGATCAGCGTCGAATATGTTGACTTATGGGCTTGCTGATTGCACTGTGAGTCAAAAGGTTTATGATAAAGTTGATGTCAGAAGCATGCGTCCCTCCTGCCAGACCAGCTGAACGAGTTACAGCAGGTTCTCAGATGATCTCCCTGTATTTATATTTGAATTATTTGGTCTGCTAGACTAAGATTACTGTATAATTTAACACACTACAAAGCACTTCTCACTAACACAGCTTAGAGTATACACAATATAACTTGAGCTGTTCTCTAACATCAGCTTGTCAAGGCCTTTAGATGGCAGGAGTGCTTTCCTTTCACAGTACCCAATTTTCACCTACATGAACACATAACATGAATGTTATAAAATATGTTAAACACATATGGTATTATTATATGGCTGTCAACACAACAAATTCCAACTAAATAAACCAATATTACTGTATTAACAGTTGTTTATTATTCTGTTTCTGCTACATGTTCAATCTAGCTGGTCATCATCAGGCAGTTTTCATGATACATCTCTTGTTACTGGATTGTGTTCTAAAATGAATCCATATTAGTAATTGCATGGATATATGCATATAGATATGGGTGTATATTTCATTCACAATTCATCTTACTAAATTTATGTTGTAATATTAGTCTTAGAGTTAAAATGTTTAAACATTGTTATTCAAATCTCTATCAAAATGTTAAAATGTTATTGTTAATTATTGTGACATGTTGAGCTATGGATGATGCCCCCCCCCGCCATCCGTGATGCGCCGAGCGAAGCTGAAGTGAGCCGAAGTTAGCCGAGTCCTAGCATCCTGGTCGCTATGCAACGCGAGTCAACAGCGATGACGTCACCTAGGGTACCGCGGGTTGCTAGGCAGCGCGGGTATACAGGATTGCGAGAGACGACGGTAGTAACAGCGGTTACTACCGCTAGCGTTGCTAGCAACACAGCGCCAGGCAACAAGGGTGCTTATTACGTGGCCGTTTTCTGTATTGTCCGATCGAGGCTACATGAGGAGCAGCGAAGGCTATTCACAGTTAGTCCTCGAGCTACCGCCGAGTTAGTTCCGAGTTAGCCAGCAACTAGTCAGTTGTATTCTGGCATTTGGAGTGTACTATTTGTGATACTGCAGATAGCAGTAATCGTAAATCTGTAATTTGGGTGATTGTAAGTGCGAATGTGAAATAAAATTTGCTACATCAAATACGGCGTGAAGTTATTTGTCGCGATATATGCCCAATACGCGACATTATTAATTAATGTATGCTGGAATCATTGTTTATGTGAAGTGAATGCCCACAGTGATCTGTCATAGAGTAGAGGGTAGTTTTTTATCTTGGAAATTGGTGTTGTTTTTAGTCTGTTACATATCTGAAAATAGATTAATGGTGTGCTAATATAGTGCGACTGTGAGTGAGGTATAATCATACAGTATGGTATAGGCATTAACACATTATGTGGGTGATTACTAAAGTGCAAGTGATGTTACAAGTTCTATAGATTATTTCTATTTCTTTCTGTAGTGAAATTATTCTGCAATGGGAGTGGGTATTTTTAGCGTCTTCTATTAATGTGTTGTACTACTCTCTTATTTACTACAAATTTGATTTCTTTACTTATGTTGTGTTTTATGTGGATTTTTCACTACTGAATATTGCAGTTGCCCCTGTTTTGATTCTGTTAGGATTGATGTTTAATGTCACAGTTATACCACATACTGATACACAACGTGATGCATACAATAAAGATCTTAAACACATACAACTTGAGTTATGCAAAACAGATCAAAACCTCACTAATTCAAACTAATTTTGAGCAAATCCTTGTCCAAATCAGTGAAAGTCCAAACTATAGAAATGCTACTGAATATGTGTTTAGGAAATTATAATATGGATTTTGCAGCTCTTTTTAAACAGTGAAATTTTTCTTTGTAACTTAGGACTGCATATCTTAAAATAAATTTGTCATAAAATGTAAAAATGTAATCTCAAATTCTTCTTCTTCTATCCCTTCAAGATCAAATTCCAGTTCTTCACTGATAATGAATTTGTTTCATGCATTATTCTTTTAATTTTACTCCAGCTGGTGGCCTAGTTGTAAATTGCACTTTTTTATGTTGTGTTCTTTCAGTCCCATTAGTGCTTTAGTTCCCAGCTATCTGTCCAAATTATGGCAAATTCTCAATTAGTGAGGTTTCACTGTAATTTGTAACTGAAAATGCAAACTGAATCAAATTTATTACCTTGCTTTGCCAAAATTCATTCCTACAGGATGACCACATCCCTTGCATGCATAATTCTGGCTGTCAAGGCCTGGTTCTGTTGCCAGTTTTCCCAACTGCTGAATCAAATTTCCAAATTCCTGTACATAAGTAAATAAAATATCTTCAGTGCACTATTTAGAATTTTATAGTTTACAGTTTATATCATACACTTTGACTGAAATTCTCCTGGCTATAACTCATACTTACAGGAATGTCGAACAGAGATGTGGGGGAGGTAGGCACCACTTCAAACCCCAGTCCATATAATGAGGAGAACTACAACAAATTGAAAATGAGACCACAATGCTAGGAATCAGATTTAATGGTAGGTAATTTCAGAGTCTGGTATGAAAAACAAACATTTATTCAATGAAACATATATGTGGTAGAAACAGAGGTTACAGTCAAGACTCCTTATTTCTACAACAGACAGGAACATGGTCATTTTATTTTGGAAGTTCAGTACTTATAATGAATGTTCAAGTAATATGAAGGGGGACCCAAAAATAACCGGAACCGACCTGTTGCGCACGCTGGCTTCGTAGTTACAAGTTGTGCTGCTAGGTGGTGTTAGCTGGGGGTCTCCCGCGACTGTTAGTGAGCTGGCGTCAGTCTGAGTTAAGTGGTTTGTCTGTGGTGCTCTGTTGTGTGCGTTCCTGTTTCAACCCTTTGGCGATTAGTGAGATGGCCGACCAGAAGGAACAAAGAGTGTGCGTGAAATTTTGCTTTCTGTTAGGGAAAACTGCAGCCGAGACTGTTGGGATGCTTCGGCAAGCCTTTAATGATGATGTTTTGGGGAAATCACAGGTCTACAAGTGGTTTTCCCATTTCAAATCTGGCAACATGTCAACAGAAGACATGCCACGCCCTGGGCGTCCTTCGACAGGAAGATATGACGAAAACATTGCCAAAATCAAATGTGCAATTGATGAAGATCGTCGAAAGACCATTGACCAACTTTCTGAGGAAACGAACATCTCATGGAGCACGGTCCAGCGAATTTTAACCGAAGGTTTGCACATGAGACGGGTGTCTGCAAAATTTGTTCCTCGCTTGCTCGGAGATGACCAAAGAGAAAACCGCGTGAATGTTTGCCGCGACTTGAAGAGTGAAGTGCAGAATGATCCAGAATTTCTTAAAAGAATTGTGACTGGCGATGAGTCTTGGTGCTATGGGTACGATCCAGAATCAAAGCAATCATCAAGCCAGTGGAAAACTCCAACTTCACCACGACCGAAGAAAGCGCGTCAAGTGCGATCCAATGTGAAAACAATGTTGATTTGTTTTTTTGATGTGAATGGCATTGTCCACAAAGAGTTCGTTCCGCCAGGACAAACAGTGAACCAACATTTTTACCTGGATGTGTTACGAAGATTACGAGAGAGTGTGCGACGAAAACGGTCCGAAATGTGGAGAAATGGGAACTGGTTGCTTCACCACGACAATGCTCCAGCCCACACAGCTTTGACGGTCCGACAGTTTTTGACAAGCAACAACATGGTGATTGTGCCTCATCCACCTTACTCACGCGACCTGGCTCCGTCGGACTTTTTTTTGTTTCCACGGATGAAGAGAAGTCTGAAAGGAAAGCAATTCCGTGATGTGGATGAAGTCAAAGAAAACACACTAAAGGCTTTGAACAGTATCCAGCCTCAAGAATTCCAGCACTGTTTTGAGCAGTGGCAAAAGCGTTGGGACAAGTGCATTAATACACATGGACAATACTTTAAAGGGGACTAATATACAGTTCAATAAAAATGCAAAAATAAAAAATAACAAAAATAAATTCCGGTTATTTTTGGGTCCCCCCTCGTACATGCATATAGTTAGAGACTGAGACAACCTGCTGAGGAATAAACATTTCAGCAATAAAGAGACACTACCTAAGGCTCTTTTTTTAAAACTGTCTTTACCATACTTCCATTTTTTGTAATAAAATTCCATAGAACAGATGATCATGAAATATACAAAAATTTAGGAAACAGAAGCTTTCTACTACACGAACAGTTAAATTTACACAAACTGGACTTCACCCCACTTCCTTGCATTATTAGTAATGACAAGCTCATTATGTGACAAATGAAGGTGAGCCATGTCCTTGTTTCAGCAGTTCAGAATTCATACCATGTATATATGATGTAATTACGATATATAGTTGTGCCAATGACCATGTTAGGTGGGTTCCTTGTCACCACGGCATGGCACATCCTCAGGTTGTGGATGTAGGAGATGTCCTTCAGATATGGAGGGTAGCCGCGAATATATTGAATAAGCAGTTACAGACAGAAAACAAGGGGTGGTCCTCCAGCTTGGGGGTGGGACTAACAATTCACCATAAAAAAGCTTGTTACAAAAGATCACAAGAAACCCCGGACCTGGATGGATTCTTTGGATAAATGACCTAAGTAAAAGAAAATGGATAAGAGATTTGGTACTTGGAATGTTTGAAGTATGTATAAGGCAGGTTCAAAAGAAATTTCAAAATATACGAGGGTTGGAACTTTAATAGTGGCAACACTGCTGTAGATACACCATGCAATGGAACCAAATAATGTCACTTATACCACACGTTAGTTACATACTTACATTACCTCAGAGCAAATGGACTCTCCCTTCCCACATCATGCTTCAGAACTGTTCCAGAGATTCTTCAGGCAGTAGACTGCTCCATTCGAACTATCAACATAACAGACACTGCTAAAGGTATCCTACGACTTCCACGTCACTGGCAATGGGTTGTACACAGTGCTGGTGACTACATTAAAGGACAGTAAAACTTTGAAACATGCATCTGCTTTGTAGCAGTTGTAAATAAATAGTTGCCACTATTAAAGTTCCAACCCTCGTAAATTAGATTTAATGGGAGTACAGGGGGTCAGATGGGGTGGAGGTGGCACTGAACCAGCAGACAAATATAAATCTTTCTATGGAAAGGGGAATGATAATCATGAATTACATTTAGGCTTTCTCATACACAAGAGAATCATATCAGCAGTTAAGAGGGTAGAGTCTGTTAGTGATAGGATGTCATATATAATACTAAGAGGTCGCTGGTGTGATATCATTCTGAATGTTCATGCACCAACAGAAGATAAAACTGATGACATGAAGGACAGGTTCTACAAAGAACTAGAACATGTGTTCGATAAATTCCCAGAACACCATATGCAAATTTTGTTAGATTTAAATGCCAAAGTAGGTAAGGAAGACATTTTCAAACCAACAGTTCGGAATGAACTTTTCCATGAAATCAGTAATGATAATGGAGTTAGAGTAGTAAATTTTGCCACATAAAAAATCTTACTGTCAAAAGTAAAACATTGTAACATTCATAAATTTACTTGGACATCTCCTGATGGAAAGAACCAAATTGACCATATTTTGATAAACAGGCGATGGCATTCAAGTACACTTGATGTCTGCTCATTTAGGGCAACAGATTTTGATACTGACCACTGTTTGGTGGTGGCAGAAGTCATGGAGAGATTGGTAGTGAGCAAACTAACAAAGCATGGAGTTCATATGGAGAGGTTCAATCTTAAGAAATTAATTGAAGTAGAGGGTAAACAGTAGTATTGTGTTGAAACCTCAAATAGGTTCGCAGCTTTGGAAAACTTAAGACACTGAGGTGGATATCAATAGTACTTGATAATATGAAAATTTCTACCCAACGCAGTATATGTTATTATGAACTGAAGAAGCATAAATCATGGTTCGATGAAGGATGCTCAGAATTTTAAGACCAAAGGAAACAAGCCAGACTGCAGTGCTTACAGGATCAAAGCGAAATAAATTGGGATGATGTGAACAATATAAGATGTGAAACCAGCAGGCACTTCAGGAATAAAAAGAGGGAATATCTGAAAGACAAAATTGATGAGCTTGCACAAAACAGTGAGAAAAAGCATATTAGAGACCTATACAGAGGAATATGTGACTTCAAGAGGGTTTACAAACCTAGAACAAACGTAGTGAAGGATAAGAATGGTGATCTGCTTGCAGATTCCCACAACATTTCCAATAGGTGGAAGAGCTACTTCTCTCAGTTATTAATAGGGACCGGATTTTAATGCAAATGCATATTTCTTTCTTGCAACCAGAGAGTATGCTCGTTTGGATATATGTATGAATTGCTTCATTTCTTAAATTTTGGACATAGTTTGATGGTGCATATAAATGCATATTTTGCCTGTTTTATGAATAAGCATCATATTATCGAAGATCTCTATTTATACTGCATATTTCCTTTTTGAAATATTTATCATATATATATTTTTTTTTTAATTTTATGTTAAAATTTTCAATCATGGTTGTGTGTATACAATTTTTCTGTTCCGTATTAGAATATGTTGCATATTTGACTTAACATTTCGTCATGATTCATGTTGCTGATGCAGTACCCAGGACGGGACTTCCCCGATCCCTCTACTCGTAACTTGCCTCATCCGCGTAAGATCAAAGTGGCCGCGAAGAGATTAGTCGGAAGCCTCACATGTAGCTGCTATCAACGTAATACTATTCAACCGATAAGGGACTTCACTTATTTATTTCCAAAGTTTCCATGAGGAACCTTACGCTTCTTCATTTGAAGCTGGGGGCCATTCACATTAGTGGTGACTAGTCTGTAGTTAAGTTTGTTTAGCTTTCTGTAGTCATGCTGAAAGTGAAAGTAAGTCAGAAAACTAAATTACAGCTGTATCAGCAGGAGTTTGAAGGAGAGATGATAACTACGGATAACAAAATTCTTCATTGCCGAGCACGTGAGAAAACGGTTGTGAAAAATGCTTTCAAGTGCTTCAGTATTTGAACACTAATATACACAAAGAGAATATTAAAATTAAATCCACGAAAAGTGCTCCTGTTCAAAAATTGCTTAGTGAATTTTCTAATAATAGTTTTTCACAGTTTTCCTTTGATTTATGCGAAGCCTTTTTAGCGGCAGATATTCCGCTGTGGAAACTAACCAGTCCTACTCTGAGAAACTTCATAGAGAAGTATACACAGTGCAAAGTGCCGGATGAATCTACTGTGCGCAAAAATTACGCGAAGCAGTGTTACGATCTTACAATTGAAAGCATTAGAGATAAGATTCATGATAATTTTGTGTGGGTATCAATTGACGAAACACAAGATTGTGAGGGACGGTTTATTGCAAATTGTATAGTTGGATCCCTTAATAAGAATGAACAATGTACCCCATATATTTTTGCGGTAGAGCAAATTTGAAACCACAAATAGCTCCGCATTTTCCGAATTTTTTATCAATTCCATGAATTTACTATGGCCGAATGGCATTCAGTATGAGCGCGTATTGCTCTTTGTGACTGATGCTGCAAGTTATATGATGAAAGCCGGTACTGCTCTTAAAGTTATATTTCCAAATATGGCACATTTGACTTGCCTTGCCCATGGGTTGCACCATGTTGCAGAAACAATCCGTGCAAATTTTCCGCTTGTTGTCAAGTTGGTGTCTTCTCTGAAGAAGGTATTTGTTAAAGCGCCATACAGAAAATAAGCCTTTAAAGCAGTAGCACCGAGCGTTCCGCTTCCACCTGAACCAATTTTAACGCGCTGGGGCACGTGGCTGTGTGCAGCGAGTTATTATACCCAACATTTACGGTTAGGAATGTCATGAATACATTTGATCCCCAAAATGCAGCATCAATTCAAATTGCCCAAGATGTACTAAAAAACGCAGAACTAGAAACTAATCTTTCCTATATATCTGCTCACTTCTCTCATCTTCCACCCGCCATTTCCTGACTGGAGGCAAGCAATAGCAATACTACTTTGTATCTGTCATTAAGTGTGTTCAAAACCACTGTTTCCAAATTGAATTCTGTTCCTGGAAGAGTTGGTGAAGTAGTAAAGGAAAAAGTACACAGCATTCTTTTAAAAAATCCAGGATATGAACATATTTGTGAAACTGAAGAAATTTTAGCAGGTAAACATACTGAACTGCCAAGTAAAAAAGTCACTAACAGTGGAGCAAATAGTGGCTTTTGTACATGCGCCCCTAAGTTCCTGTGAGGTGAAAAGAAGTCTTTCCCGCTATAAGGACATCTTACGAGACAATAGGAGGTGACTAACTATGGAAAACCTAAAACATTTAGCAATTTTGAACTGCAACAGAAGAGAAGTTGAAAGTTCGGACAGCTAAATGTGAGTACCATTTGTTTTCTAAATTTGTAATGAAATATGTCGGCTTTGTTGCATGATTTGCATTTAAGTATAGCATTTTTGCAGGTGAATCATTCATAAAATGAACTTAAGTATTGATTTTTTGGTCTTAAAATAATGTAAAATCAATTTTAATATTTGGTATAAGTTTTATGTGCATATTTTGGAAGTTTTTCATGCATAAATGCATACATATTTAAGGGATTATTAGGGCATATAAATCCGGTCCCTACATACATACAAAGTCAGTGATGTTAGGCAGATAGAAATACATACAGCTGAGTCATTAGTACTTGATCCTAGCTGGTTTGAGGTCGAAATTCATATTGCAAAGTTGAAAAAACATACGTCGCCAAGTAGTGATTGAAATTCCACCAAAACTGATTCAAGCAGAAGGTTAAATTTTACGTAAGCTAATTAAATCTATGTATTTTGAATAAGGAAAAATTGTCTGATCAATCGAAGGAGTCAATTATTGTACCAGTTCACAAGAAGGGTGATAAAACTGAATGTAGTGATTATCACAGGGTATCACTGCTCTCAACTTCATACAAAATTTTATCCAATATTCTTCTCTCAAGGTTAAATCCATATACAGAGTAAATGACTGGGATCATCAGTGTGGGTTTTGATGTAACCAATCAACTACTGATCAGATCTTTTGCATTCGTCAGATACTGGAGAAAAAATTTGAGTACAATGCGAGAGTATATCAGCTTTTTGTAGACTTCAAGAAAGCCTATGATTCAGTTAGGAGGGAAGTAATGTACAACATTCTGATAAGAGTTTAGGGTACCCATGAAACTAGTTAGATGGATTAAAATGTGTTTAAATGAAATGTATCGTGAAGTCCATATAGGTAAATATTTGTCTGATAATTCTCCTATCCAGAATGATCTATAACAAGAGGATGCTTTATTGCTATTGTTTTTTAAACTTTGCTTTAGAATATTCCATTAGGAAAGTCCAGGAAAACCAGGTGGGACTGGAATTGAATGGGATATATCAGCTGTTGGTCTATGCTAAGGGAGTAATCTATTGGGTAATATTCGTACCATAAAGAGGAAATCTCAAACATTAATTGACACTAGTAAGTAGGTTGGTCTAGAAGTAAACACAGAGAAAACTAAGTATATGTCACAGTCTCATCACCAGAATGCAGGGCAGACTCAGGGCATAAAGATAGCTGACGGATGTTTTGAAAATGTGGCACAGTTCAGATATTTGGGAACAGTAACAAATCGAAACTTCATTCAAAGGAAATTAAGAGACTGAATTTGGGTAATGCTTGCTACCATTCGGTCCAGAACTTTTTGTCTTCTTGTCTGCATCTAAAAACATTAAAATCAGAACATACAAAACTATAATTTTGCCTGTGGTTCTGTATGGGTGTGAAATTTGGTCTTTAACATGAAGGAAGGAACACAGACCAAGGGTGCTTGAAAACAGGGAACTGAGGAGAATATTTGGACCGAAGAGAGATGAAGTTATGGGAGGTTGGAGAAAACTGCATAATGAGGAGCTTCATAATTTGTACTCTTCTCCAAGTATAGTTAGAATGACAACTCAAGGAGGATGAGGTGGGCATGGCATGTAGCACAAATGGGGGAGAAGAGGAATGCATATAGAGTATTGGTTGGAAATCCAGAAGAAAAGAGACCACTAGGAACGCCAAGATGTAGGTGGATGGACAATATTAAAATGGATCTTAGAGAGATAGGATGGTATGGATTGGATTGATCTGGCTCAGGACAGGGACCAGTGGAGGGTTCTTGTGAATATGGTAATGAACCTTTGGGTTCCATAAAATGCTTGGAAGTTGAGTAGCTGCACAACTGCTGGCTTCTGAAGAAGTGCACAGCCCCATGAGTGAGCAAGTTGTGTTAATGAACTGTAAGAAAATACCTGCAGTGATTTTCTCACCTTCTGAGATGTAATGTGTTTTCCTTGGCAACTTGATGATTTCTAAGTGACTTACCCTATTTTTCTTTACAAAATAGTCCTCTTTTTACCAAATTTATGTTCAATGTAAAGATGAGTGAATTGCATATTTCATACGTGCAAGTCCACAGACATGTGTTAATCAATGTATCAAAAATAATAAAAGCAGTAAGCTATTATGGATTTGCAATATTTATTCCTTGCAGAAAAAAAACACTGATAATTCACAAATGAAGCATGGAAGTGATTGTACATGGAACCCAATGTGAAAATTTTCACTTTTAAATATCACACTAATGATAGGACACACAAAAATAGAAATTATCTCATTCCACACAACATTTAAAACATGCATAAATTCAAGAAAATTCAGGTGCTTGGTGGCGAGGATGGAGGCCGATATATGGATCACATCATTAGGGAGAACACTGAGATTGAACTCCATCCTGACAATATGAACAGAGAGGTGGAGTTTGTTTCAGCAAGTCATGGAAGCCTCTCATCTGTTCCCCCAAGAAACCTCCCGGACACGACACCAGATCCACAAAACACGCAGGTCCATGCCCAATTCACATTGCAGCCCCTAAACTTCGGGGTTAATGCCCTCCTATTAACCTTGCCTTTCTAGCCCCAACATAATTTCTATACCTGCTGGCCCACCTCCCCAGACCCTTCCCCCCTCCTCTCTACTGATATCCCATGTAGCCCCTCTCCCCTCTTTCTCTTCCTGCTCTTATACAGTTTGACTCAACATTACTCTGTGAGCACTTGCTCGCGCCGGTTCCTCGCTTACAAAGTTTCTTCTTGTTTCTTCTACCCTGAATATGGAAGCGATACGTTCCTCTGAAATGTCAGTTAACACAATACCTACACGGCACCACATCCCAGAAGACTGCTTTCTTCACAGTCACCACCATGAAAACCTCAAATCTTACAAGATTCACTACAATTCCATAAATTATAGTAAGTCTTCTTAAAAAAAGTGTGCTGCAGATCTACATGCACACTAGAGCTCAGGGGGTAGGACTGTGCTAGAATCAGTGTGTGTAAATGAAAATAACAAAAACAAATGCTCATTAAGATTGGATTTGTGAGACCTTTATTTTCTCAATAACTGTATGATATTTATGGTGTAACTAATATCTGTGTATGACAACCAAACAACATATGAACTGCAATTTGTTATGAAAAACAATGAAAACTGCTTATTGCATAAAATAGTTTAACATTCCTCCACTTTATTTAGAGGCTACTACACACTGCTTCAGCCATAAACTCAACTGTCATCACAGGCATTTCCCACACATATTCATAAGAGCTTAAATGCAAAAAATATCAAATCAACATCGTGCATGTGCTTATTCTCTACAAATTATCTGACAGTGTGGGATCAAGACAAAACTCTGTTATTAACCTTCAATCATGTTTCCTTTTAAGTCATATTCTTTATGGTCAAAAGAGGCACTGAAAAACACACATGACGTCTTCCTCAAGACACCATACTTTAAGCTATCCTCGATACTTTTAGCACATACTTTCCAGCAAAATGCCTGATGGTAACAGAGTGAATATAAACATCATTACATGGGAAAATTCAACAAGGTTTTCAAAAATTATACAAAAAGATAAACAATTTTGAATAACTGAACTTTGTTATGTGACTGCTGTTATGAACTTTTAGTCTTTCTGTTTATACTCGACCCATTTATTAACAATTCTCATTGTTTCTATGATACATGTATTCATTTAAAAACAGAGAAAATGTTAAACATTAGCAAATTAAGAACTAAGATACTGAACAACCTATGCTGGAAAAAGAGCTCTGCAATCAAAAGAAACTGCTTACTTTCTCAGCAAAGAGTGAACATAACTACAGAAACCCACATTAAATAAAATACACTCTTCTATGTGAAATGTCAGGAGTACAAACAAATGGAAAAAGAATGAGAAACAATAGTGAACCAATTGCACTTACTGGATCTTCTGCTTCTGCTTCACATGTAGTGTCTGTAGCAGTTTCTGAGCCCTCAAACCTCTGCAAGAAGTCTCTCAGGTCTGGAGTTTTTATATACGATCCTGACACAAGATTGTAGCTCTCCAAAAGGGAGTGGTAACTCTGTACCTCATTAGGACTTCGAAGTAATGATGTTTTACTCTTCATTACTGGGGTGGTAGTTTTACGGGAGACTGATGGCATGAGATCCGGTCCTTCAAGGTCTCCATCTGGAACCTCTTCAAATGAAGATGACCAGCCTGCTCGCCCAACAAGGGAATTACCCACACTAGACGGACCATCATCATCCCCTACTGTGTCTTCATTCCTCTGTGGAATGTCAGTTCCCTGACTATGATTATTTTCTACCATACATATATCTGCAGTTAAGCCTGGGCTTGAGCTTCTTGGAGCTCCCTGGGTTGCTTCTGCATTCTCTAAGAGAAATGCAGGATTAGCTAAAGGGGAATCATCAACAGGTGTGCCCAAAATAATTTTCAATGCTTCTTCCTCATTTAGGGCAAGTACTGTTCCCAATCCAGAACCTTCATATGAGTGTGAAGACAATGACACAGCAGAGCTTGCTGAATCATCAGCATCACCACTATCTAATGTACTGGCAACATCTACACCAGATACCACTGGACAAGAACGCAGTGGTGGTGTCCAAAGCCCAGCAAGGAGGAGTGGTGGATTGGTCCAAACATTCAGCAGACTAGAATTGCATGCCACTGAGAAATGGCAAAATTCTATGCCTTCCACAAGACGTTGTGCTACCTCTAGCATTTCTGTATCACGTAAAAAAGCTGAGCGGCGATAATAGGGCTTCAGTGCACTGCCATCACGGCACATTGACTCAAAGTAGCTAGACAGCAAGCCATCATTCAGAGCCAGCCGTAACCAAGCTCGACAATGCCCTACATCTGTAGTGACTAAATTCAAGGAATTGATCTGCAATCACAAGCATGAAAATGTATAGTAAGTAAATAATAAATACATACAAATGGTCACTGAACTACATATGTTTTTAAATCTAAATTAGAGATTACATGAAGAATTTTCTGAACTAGTCTTCATAATATGCTGTTAAAATATTAAGTCCCTACTTTCATTCACGGCTTTGTAAGAAATGTATATGACATCCAAAATGAACACAGCCACTAAAGCAAATGAATAAATTCACTCCCAATGATTATACAGTATATGCAAGCTGTCTGATGTGAAAAATGTAAAAACTCATCCATTATTTTGCCTTGTCAATAAGTCTCAACATGTGCCTCCCTTGTGGTGCAGCAGTCATCTAACTGATATTCTGTCTGGGTCCAGGTGTTTCTTAACATCTCCACAGTTACAGATGGTACTACACTGATGATCTTATGGTGCAGATCTGGCAGGTAATTGACTTCCGTCTCTTATACGATGTCTTTGATGTGCCCTCATAGAAAAACTTACAAAGGGGGTCAAACTGGGCGGTCATGGGTGCCATCTTGACCAATCCGTATTCTTATGCTCAGTCAGAAATTCAGTGGCAGGTGTCCAGAAATGTGGTGGTGCCCAATCTTGCTGGAAGATGTACCCATCAAGTACCTTCGGCACAGCATAATTCTCTAGCATGTTAAGGTACACAGCATCTGTCACCATTTTTTCATGGAAGAATGGTTCAATCATTTCTGTGCTGGTTAATCTGCACCACACGTTCAATTTTAAGCTATTCTGTTTATCTTCCTTCACATCATGAGGATTCTAAGCTCCCTAGATGTGACAATTACAGTGGCTAACTTTACATGCAATGAAGCACACACTACTTAGTCTCTGTCACTGGCTATCCGACAGAGAATGTCGGCAGGGAAGTCATTTGCGGTGGAAGTGGAGCAAGTGAAAGTGTGACTGTTTACACACTGCACTGTGGACTGCTGAACAAGGAATTCACAGTTCAAGGCCTGCTTACCAAATGCACTTCCATAGATCTTGCTGGAAGCTTCCCAAATGGCTGTGACTTCTTCAGATGTCATCTGCACACCACATCACTCCAAACTCCCATGCTGTAAATGCTGGTGCCAGTCAACAACTGTGTGTCTAGCTGGTGGATTGTGGCCATACTTCTGGTGGAACTTGCACTGAACAGTCAAAAGAAACTTAAATTCTACCAGCCAGTGACACAACTGAACTGTCTTTTGTGATGTGAATGACGCCATTTTGCACACACCAACCAACAGCTACTGCACATGCACAATGGTGTTATCAAATGCCCCATGTACATTTGGTTAATTTTTCACTGCAAACCATTTGAATGGATCTTCACTGAGTGAAGTTATTCAGTTTATTATTGGCAACAGTGTTTATAATTCCGGGGTGTTGACAAGCACCTGGACACAGACAGAATACCAGTTTAATGTCTAAAGTATCGCAAGCTTTTATACTTTTCAGCTCAAAGAGCTTGCATGTTATCTTCATTTGGAGTGAAGTTCTCCAGTTTCTTTATCGGTTGCATTCATTTTAGACAACCTCACTAGCATTCAAAGACACTTTAAGTGATGATGGCAAAAGAATAAAATACAGATTATGAATCTGTTGTATATTCTGATAGCCATTTCCTGTAAACTGCTGAAACAGTGTCACCATTAACAGGTACTTAATTCATCACTTCAAAGCTTCAGCATTACCATTTTCATATACAAATTCATGCCCTCACCTGATCTATAATTTCACGGTGTGAAAATATAAGTACTGGTCCCCAGAAGCTGGGTTCTGGTCGTTGATCAGGGTCTGCACCTATTGCCTGTGAAACTCTATTCATAAAAGTGTCCTTCAGTCCATGTATGAAGATGGCTTCAAGAACTGTGCACAAGGACGCTGTAGTATCATTATTCACTTTGGCCTGGGCCATTTCTAGCTGGATCTCCTTCACACTTGAGGAGAGCTGAGATATCAAAGATTCCTTCACCAAGTCCCCTACTCCAGTAAAAGAAATCACACCCCGAAGTAATGAATTCATTTTCAATTATAAACACCAATAAGTTCAATTACGTAATATCCATCATTACTATTAAGTAGCTTTCTAGAATGCACTCACGCCTCAAAAGCTAATCAATGTTACCATGACCACAGAACAGATTTTGTGCTTTTAATGCACAGTATGCATCTTGTTCTACAACTGAAAAATGCTCTAATATTGCTTTAGTATTTGCAAGAGCACTGCCAGGTCTGAGAATGTGATACTTCCCAGGGGCACTGAGGTCTACAACTGTGGAGCCAGCGCGAAGGGATGTGGAGTCTCCTAGCCTTCCAGAATGGAACACAGCTGCCAAATGTGGCCATAGGCTCTGAAACTCCTCAGGAGCTAAAGAACTGTGTTCATTACTGGCATTAGCACTAGTCAACGCTAATGGAGTTCCAAGCCTCTTGCACAAGTTGAGCACAAATTCATTATCAGGAATGCGGATCCCAATCTTGGAAACACCTGGATTCAGTGCTGAGTTCAGATTCGAAGTACGCTCTAAGACAACAGTAACAGGTCCAGGTAGAAGTGTATCGAGTAAACCCGATGGGAGGCAGTCCACCTTCCCCCAGCAACACAATGATTTCACATTATTAACACAAATAGCCAGTGGCTTATTCTGATCTCGTCCCTTGATCTTGTACAGCTGTTTAATGGCTTGTGTATCTTGGGCTGCCACCGCCAAACCATAAACTGTATCTGTTGGAAGTGCAATTACTTTACCCTCCAATATAAACTGAGCTGCTCTTTCTACAGCAGCTGTAAACCACCCAAACTCAGACACATTTATCAAGACAGACATATGGTGACATGAATACTGAAAATAGTTACAGAAAAAGTGAAATTTCTGTCCTAAAGCACGCAACATATGAACTAATCACGCCAACGATGTCCACACACAATGTTACAGCACTTATAGAATGTAGTCATAGGCTCATCAGCAGATCGTGTTTGAATTTGCATGAAATATGCTCGAGGATGAAAACATTTTGGACATCGCTCATCTGTTGAGTCTACATTCTCCCATGCTGCAGCTCCTCCCAGAACATCATCCACTTCCTGAAAAAAAGGTTTCACAGTCACATGGCATTACCTAATGTAACTTCAGAATAAAATCAAACATATGTAATGACTAGAAGCACCCACTTTTTTTAAATATATGGTAATAAACTGGTCAAGTTTTCTTAACAGCATTAAGGAGTGTAAGCAACGGATGTATGTTGTTTTCATTGAAAAAAATATTAATCTGACCATGAAGTTATCAATCTGTCACTTGACCAAGCAAGTTGGCTCTTGCAATAATGTTCTGATTTGTATTGAGGAGGTGACTGACTTGAATACTATCTGGGGCACTTACTATCCTTGCTGAACTCTTTAAGATTTTATTCAGCCCATCCTCCCCAGAGAAAACATCGGATAGTATCCAACTAGGCCACTGACACTCCCTTCCCAACCATTTAAAATTCATACATTAATCACCCTACCATTAAATACCATATACAGACCAAGATACTGAAAGCACTGTTAATTGCACCACAAAAAATAAATCTGTTGCTTCAATTATGTATGATGTTCACACATTTTGGCATATCTGCGTGTGCAGGGCACACTGAATTAGTGCCATTAAATTAACTTCATTTAAATATTTGGACTTAATTGCAATCACTTTCCAAATGCCACATCAACCAGATGATTCATATGCATTTAAGTATGTGTGTGTGATCATACATATTGTAAAGGATTTGATCAACATGTAGCATGGCAACAGCTCTGTAAACATGGTTCAACATGCAACAACAGAGGAAGCTGTTTTTTCTGTAGATCCGACCGGCATGATAATAGACTGGCTGGGTAGTAATCATGTGATTTGCATACACTCTAGGTCCATATCCATTCTGTGGCTATATAAGTGACAGAATTCGTTCAGGGCAATTACAAGTAGCAGTAATAGTGGCAGGAGCACGCAAACAAGCAAGCCAGTTCTCGGTAGGAGATAGCCAAGGGAAGTTTGTAGTTGAAGAATTATAAGTTGGCCTCTGTGAAGGCTTAATGTGTGATTAAAAGACTTTATCTATGCATAATATTTGAAGTGTGCAATTCAGTGAGACTGTTATAGTTCCTGTGTTATAAATCTGTGAAGACTAGTGCAGACAGACTGCAGAGATTAGTGCCAAGTGATTTTAAGTGTAAAGCAGCACTAGTGAAATAATTACTTGTAGTTACAACTTGTAAGTATCCAATAAATCCAATTTCCAATCTGAACCCTGTCCTTAGTCACTATCACACATGACAATATATACATATATGCGTTGCGCGTGTAGATATGCTGCATGTGCATACACGTACATGCACACACGCATAAAGGTCTGTTCTTTTCATGGGTTTGCTATGATACTTTCAGTACTGCAGGCTCTATAGCATCAAATGAAAGGATGATGAAATGAAACATACTTGCAAGAATGCAGCCATGGCCTAACTGAGGTACTGCTAACCTGGCATATGCCTGGATGGACAGAGGAAACCAGTGAAAAGCCTCCACCAGAACAGGTTGTTCTATGCATTACAACCACAAGGCAATGTACAGAACACAGATATTGCACACAGTAAAAGCAATGGAAATATTACTAGCAACCAATGTAACATCTGCATATACTACAATAAAATAACATTACAACATGTAAAAAGACACTACAACAATGGTCATTCCTCATATTTCATAACTGAATATAATTTTATATTTGACAAAAATGTAAGATACTGTAATGTGTTGGGTGTATAACGCGACAAATAACTTCATGCCTTGCTGGATATAGATGGTATGGATTGACATTCGCTCTTACAATCACAAAAATTACAATCTGACAATTACTGCCATCGGCAGTATCACAAATACTAGACTGCAAATGCTAGACTACAATTGACTGGTTGACTGCCTGGCTAACTCGTAACTAAATGAATCATAACTATCCCATAACTTGAGAACTAACTTGAATAGTCTTCGCTGCTCCTTATTTAGCCCCGTTCCGGACAAGACAGAAAACCGCCACGTAATAGGCACCACTGTTGTCTGGCGCCATGTTACGTCACCGCGAGGAGAGGGGCGGGGTGTTGACTTGCCTATTACCATAGTAACGACTGTGTTCCGATGCCGCCACATACCGCTGAGGTGGGAGGGGGGTGTCCTCCATTGCGCAACATGTCACAATACTATAATTTTAAAGCACTTCCTTTTAACGTATGAGTGCTGAAAATGACCCACATGTGCCAACAGATGGAAAAGCAGTAAAATAAATTTTCTCATATATGTTACACTGGATGGTACTCTTTTTTTTAATTCAATTAGTGGGGGGTGGAGTCCAACTGGGTCCACTTGGCACAGTAGCCACCGATTGGCCTATTGTAGCCTGCCCTGGGTGATTATGATGGAGAATTTGGTGGAATGAAGATTGGCAGGAGAATCTGAAGTACTTGGAGAAAACCCACATCAGTGCCACTTTGTCCACCACAAATCCCACATGACCAGACCCGGGATCAAACCAGGGCCACCGCAGTGGGAAGCCAGCGACTAACCGCTTCAGCTATGGCACAGCCCAGATGGTACTCTTACTAAGATCATTATTAATACAAACGTAATGGTTCAGATGCCACATATATTAAAATAGTAATTGTTTATAACACTGAAGTACTTTATGTAGTATATGCACAGCTGAGAAAGAAGCTGTGAACTTCATGTATGAGAAGATTATGCCTACATGGATCCTTGTGTTCACTGTATGTAGGACTTGCTTCATCCACTACACATACCAACAAACAACTAATGTGCAGTGGAAAAGTTGTCAAAAGTCACACACCTATCAGTGCATTGTATACTTCAAATCTGAGGTAAAATCCAAAAGTAAGAGTACTGGCAAACATGTTTTAGAACCTTGTTCTTTTACTTTCAAAATATACACTAAACTACGAGGAGCGTTCCCTATATAATGCCTATTTTTTTTAATGAAAACTACAACAGATACAGAAAGCATAATAATGCAGTTAAATAGAGCAAGATTTCAGCTACTAACAGCTATTTTTCCACATAATCACCACCATTCGTTACACACTTTTGCCAGCGATGAACAAGAGCCTGTATGGCACGCTCGTAAAAGTCTGCGCCAGCAGAGGCTAGCCACTTTCTTACAGCTGCAATGACAGCATTGTTGTCTGGAAAATGTTGCCCATGTAGTCCATCTTTCATAGGCCCAAAGAGATGGCAGTCTGAAGTTGCTAATAGGATAGTCCAGCCAAACCTTGCAATGTGTGCGGTGGTTGCCAAACTGGTATGGGGTCTAGCGTTATCATGTTGCAAGCAAAAGGTTGTCTGCTTCTCTGGCCTGACTCGGGAAATGTGGGCTTTCAGCTTAGTCAGCGTCATCTTGTAACATTCAGAACTGACAGTCTCACCAGGCTCCAGGAAATCCAACAAAATCACACCCCGCCTATCCCAAAAGACTGTGCACATCACTTTCCCTGCCAATGGCTGTGACTTGAACTTCTTTTTTCTTGGGGAATCCAGATGTCATAACTCCATGGACTGTCTTTTGGATTCCAGCTCGTAGTGGTGACACCACGTCTCACCTCCAGTGACAATGTTGTCCAGAAACTTGTTACCTTCAGCCTCAAACTGGTGCAACAGGTCCTGACAGACTTCCATTTGATGAGCTTCGTGGTCCCATGTAATCATCCGTGGGACCCACCTGGAACAAACTTTGCGATAATCGAGCTTCCACAACATCATTTCCAATGCATTACAGCTGATATTAAGCTGTGCACACAGTTCCCTGGTTGTTATCTGCCAATCTGTACGGATGAGCTGATCGAGGTGCTGTTCATTGTGAGGAGTAGCAGCTGAGCAGGGATGCCCAGGGCATGGTTTGTCGTGCACTTCACTTTCGCCAATGTTGAAACACACTACCCACCGCCTCACTGTGCTGACATCCACTGTATCATCTCCGTACACCTTTAGCAAGTGTCAATGGATGTCAATGGGTGCAATTTGTTTGGCAGTGAGAAATTCAATAACAGATCTCTGCTTCGTACGCACTTCCACGTCAGACGCCATTTTTGTAGACTGCTCTGCTGTAACTATCTGTTGCACGACAACCAAACTAACAGTATATTGGCAGGAAGCTTCAACCTTTACTACAACACCACCAACATCCATCTCAGACATTACAGATTATCACAAAAAAATAGGAGGCATTATATATGGAGCGCCCTTCATACTATTAAAAGTTCAATACATCTGTCAGAAAAAATATAAAAGAAAAGTAAAAATTGTTTATCTGAGCATTAAAATACCAAACGTGATCAAAATTTGCCTGCACTATCACAAAACTTGTTATTCCAAGTTATAACATTTTTCTTCGTTTCCCTTAAATGCATGCTAATACAAAGAACAGGTCACAAATTCACCTTTCTGAGACATCATCATACACACAGGTTTTGTTCCTAAATGTTTTGACAAATTACAAAATTGTTGCTGAAATTCAACAAAGACCTAAGAGATTGCAACACCAAAATATATGGCAAAATGGGTGACTTATTAAATAATGTACCATCAAACACAATAAAACCTGCATATAAATTTTAATGTCACACACAATGTGACAATATGTGGCACAATTTTTGGCTACCCAGTTAGTCATCAGTCCTTCTTACTTGGTCCATATACTACAAAATTATCATCACAGATAAGAATTTTATATATATATATGTGTGTTTGTGTGTGTCCTATTAAGCTAATAGTTTACTTAAATCAAGTACTTATTAATTCTGGCTGTTATAATAAATCTGTATCAATTCCACAAAAGTACCGTGTTGTATAACATGGTTTTGAATCTCATAATACGACCTAAAACCAAGCCATTCTGAACCTAACCTACTCCGGAAACTGTGCAGGGTTAAAACCACCCTACAAAACCGTGTAGGGCACTGACCCAAACTGTATTCTACACTTTGACTAATACCCTCTAATCTATATACCCGAAGGATAACTAATATGAGTGCAAGACCGAAACCAAATTTTGTGGCTTATGCATAACTTGCATACTGTTAATAACCCAGCACCAGCGCTCCTAGTTCTCCAAAAGAAGTCCTATTTCGTAGTATCCGGTGTACAAATCACCTGCATCCCATATTCATTACATTAATTCGCATGTCCTTTCGGAGTACTCACAAAAGCCTACCTTCAACAGACGATAAATACGGGAGCTAACAATGTGTCTAATGTTGTATACATATGGAGTACTCACAAAAGCCTACCTTCAACCGAGGATAAATACGGGAGCTAACAATGTGTCTGATGTTGTATACATATGGACAAGTGAAACAACTAAATCTCAGATATAAAGGCCCGTCTTCGACGATGAGAGCACTAGCACACGTCGGACAAAACATCAACATTTTTATACATAACTATGTATCCAGAAATTACCATACAACATATATACAATACAGAAACAGAACCAATATTGCACAACCAAACCTGCAAGCTCTTCTCAACAGACTAGCAGTAAATTTCATGATGGTCTTTATCACAAGGATCCTAAAGGAAGCACATTCTACACCGCTGTTAACGGCTGTATGCGCTTCATGTACAGTCGTGTAAACTCAACGTCACTGACTTCTTTACCTTCCATGGTTCCATGGGATATGGGAGCAGAAGACCGACCAGAGAAGACCAGAGCTCCTCTATTAACACTACGACCCACTACAACACCGGACGCAGCGCCTCACCTGTGTTGCCTGTGTTTGTGACGTCGCTAATTGGACCCTGGAGGATTGGCAACGTGTAGAGTGTTCCAATGAGTCACCCAAAATCCTGAACCTACAAATACCAGGGAGTTGTGGGCGGCTATGCAGACGGCATGGCTGAACATCTCTCCAGATCCTGCAGATCACTCGAGAGCTCCAGAGGTCTTCCGTCCATTTGTGGAATCGATGCCACGTCGAGTTGCTGCATTTCGCCGGGCTGGATGGTGTCCTACACGCTACTTTGTACTTATCACATGACTTTGGCACTTCAGTGTATATAGAGTTCTTGTGATTTGTATGCCTGCCAGAGCTCCAGAGGTCTTCCGTCCATTTGTGGAATCTATGCCACGTCGAGTTGCTGCACTTCGCCGGGCTGGATGGTGTCCTACACGATACTTTGTACTTATCCCATGACTTTGGCACTTCAGTGTATATAGAGTTCTTGTGATTTGTATGCCTGCCAGAGCTCCAGAGGTCTTCCGTCCATTTGTGGAATCTATGCCACGTCGAGTTGCTGCACTTCGCCGGGCTGGATGGTGTCCTACACGATACTTTGTACTTATCCCATGACTTTGGCACTTCAGTGTATATAGAGTTCTTGTGATTTGTATGCCTGCCAGAGCTCCAGAGGTCTTCCGTCCATTTGTGGAATCTATGCCACGTCGAGTTGCTGCACTTCGCCGGGCTGGATGGTGTCCTACACGATACTTTGTACTTATCCCATGACTTTGGCACTTCAGTGTATATAGAGTTCTTGTGATTTGTATGCCTGCCAGAGCTCCAGAGGTCTTCCGTCCATTTGTGGAATCTATGCCACGTCGAGTTGCTGCACTTCGCCGGGCTGGATGGTGTCCTACACGATACTTTGTACTTATCCCATGACTTTGGCACTTCAGTGTATATAGAGTTCTTGTGATTTGTATGCCTGTTTTGTGTACGGTGAATTAAGTGTTATATTTTTAAAATTATAGTCAATATGCTAATGATTTAAATGGCAAAGTACAGGTTTCTTTTTATAACACGCATTGAATAATCTGTGATAAAAGTATCTGTAGTTAGCAGTTGCTGTGTATAAGTAATCTGTGATGACTGATCTCAATTGTGGTTGGCTGGCAGAACCGGCAGTGGTTACCGGTCGTTAGTATTTTTTGACAGTTGGTGTGTAATTCAATGTTGTGGATGTTGAAGTGTTTTCCGAAGAATTAATATATTTTATATGGTTTTTGTGGATTTGAAGAAGGTATGTAATATGTGTTAAGTTTCTGAACCTGCACAATTGTTATCTGCCCCAGATTTATTAGTTCTAAGTGCTTATGAACTGTGACTCATCAGGGTGCATGAATTTTATTAGGGAACTCTGAACATAAAAGATATGGGATACTTATTCTCGGTTGCGCAGTGAATGTTAGGTTTCCAACATACGAATTAGATCTGGGAAGCGAAATGTGAATTTATATAATAAAATTCCAAATGCAGCAGGCTAGTGCAATAAACGTTACTTGCCATATGTAGTAAGTGCTTGTAGCATTTTCATGTTTACAAATATAGTATGTAATATGTAATTTGCATATAGCAGACATCTGTTTTGGAAGTATGGCAGCACGTTAAGCATGAAGATTAAATTTCCTTACATTGTGAACTGGCTCTGTATAAGCAGAAGTTCACTAATGATTGCTGTAAGAATCGACCTAGACTGCCCATACTGTATAACAACTGCTAGCATTGACACTTGCCCACCACTTCTGCCTTCAATTATATCTGACAGCATGTGAACTAGTTTTTGCAACAGTCTGAAGCTCCGAAGTAAATGATTCACCACACTTTTACAGCACACCATGCCATTACATTTCCAATGTGTAGTGGCACTTGTTGAATAACATGAGGATATCATTGGCTCCTTGTCCATAAATTTTGCATATTGACATGACCACTGAGATTAAACCATGTCTCATGAGGTGTGGAAAGCAGTTACAGACACATAGCTTTGTCATGGATATGTTT